CCCAAGGGGGTGAAATGAGCTGCATTTCTAATCTAAGTCATCATGAAAAGGTCTGAAGTGGCACTGATACAGAGCCAGTGTGGTACAGTGGTTACGAGCACGGAACTGGGACTCAGGCGATCTGGGTTCGAGTCCCCGCTCAGCCATGGAGCCAGCTGGGTGACTCTGGGCCAGTCACAGACGCTCAGCCCAGCCTACCTCACAGGGTTGCTGTTGTGGGGATAAGATGGAGGAGAATGATGTAAGCTGCCTTGAGCCCTTTGTAGGAAAAAGGCAGGATATAAATCAAAAAATAAATAAATAAAAATAAAATAAATAGCACACATGGATGCTATGCCAGTCCACACCCTCTTTACTGGGTATACGTTTTCTCGATTTTGATGGGGCGGCTGGCCTTCCCCTTGTGATGTTCTGGAATTCATTGCTGCAGGATGTGGGAACGGCCACTGTGCACTTACGTGGCTTTCAGTGGGGAGAAGACAAATGCGGGGCAGAGCCTTCCGTGGCCCCCCGCCAGCAGGACTCCTATTTTGGAGCTCGGGACCAAAGTCAAGGGCCGTGTAGCCAAGAGGAAACCCCTGGTGGCCAACTGGAGAACGGCAGCGGATAGAGGCATCGGAAGCCAACGCCATGACACGAAGGTTTAAGTGAGTCCATAATGCGACATCGCAAATGCTCTGATATTATATAAAAATGATATTGATCTCAGCATAGATTACAGAGTTGAGAAGCAGTTTTGTTGTCCCTCTGAGCATATCAGGAAAGCTGGACCAGTTGCAAACTGTGGAAAGCAGGGAGGAGAAAGAGGTTCATTGGGCACATGGCCGTGTAAAGCGGCCCACCTGCCAAGACCAGTAAATAGAGTCTAAAATAACTTGGCTGCATAGAACCTCCATGCACAGAGAAAGTCTACCATGAAAAGCGGTTTTGATACCAATGGCAGGCAAGGCGTATTGTTGCGTGCGTTCTTCTGGAGACTTCCCCGAGATGTCTGCTTAGTCTCTCCAGAAAGACATAGAAATAATAGACACAGAAATAAGAGACAAAGGGTTTGGTCTGATTCAACAGGACTGTCCTTGGGATCTTATGTCTTTCTGCCATAAGATCCTGGAAGCAGGAAACAGCCAATCTTGTTGGAAAGAGGCCAACACTTTTCAGACTCGTTGCCAGGAAAAAGCCTTTGCCACTGTAATTACAACATTCTCTTCATAGCCAAGGTTGGATCCTCTCTGGAGGGGCTTTCATAGCAGGGGAGTCTTTGGAACGAGCTGCTTTATCCTGCCATAATCTGTCCCCACTGTTATTACTGAGAGAATTAAGCATTTGCTGATCGGTTTCTTCTGTTCCGCTGCAGCAACTGCTGCTTAATCCCATGGTGAATGTGTAATCTTCCTTTTCAGGAGACCCAAGTCGCCAGTCCAGATTAAAGAATAACATCCCAGCCCTTGTCCCCTTCCCCAGGTTACTCGCCACCCAGCTGCTGCTACACAGAGGCATTAATCCACCCAGCGCAGAGAAAAGCTCAGCTCCAGGACCATGGAAGCCTCCCTGAGATCATCAATCAGGGCCCTTTGAGTCCATCTTTAGCAGCCGCGTCCCTCTCCCCACCTCCACCTGCAAGGCACCGGTCTGGCACGGGCACCCAGGTGTGGGTGCTGAGTGCCTTTCTCCATCTGCAGCACAGGGAGCAAAACGGGGTGCAGGGAAGATGCGGCTACTCCAGTAACGCTTCTTTTGGCCCTGCAACGAGGCAGATAGTTGCATGCAGTTCTGTGCAACCTGCACTTTGCATGGCCTTGGCACGGTGCAGCTCTGATCCTCGCAAGGTGTGCACACCCGCACTGGACTGGAGTCAGCGCCTGGCATGTGCAGACGGTGTGTTGGGACCCCGCTCCAAGGGAAGCAAGATCGGAGTTTGTGAACGCAGGGTCCGTGCTTCAGCTGGCATCTCTCTGAGGAGCGTGTTCCAGTGGACGGGAGGCTGCAGAGACGAGAGGCAGCTGGCTGGCAATTTGCTTGCCGGCAGAGGGAGCCCTTCTTGGGGGCCGGGGGGTTGCGTAAAACGTTCTGCTGGAGGCCAAGTGCAGTGATTGGCCCGGGATGCAAGTCTACGGTCGTCATCTGGTGCAGAAGTGGAATTCATCGAGCAAAGGCAAGAGGGAGCTCAGTGCCTTTCCCCCGCAATTCCACAGCCCCCCAGAAGGGGGAAAATGCCCATTTTGTCTTTGGAAAACTCCCCAGAGTGGAATGGGCATGCGTGTCGGCGTGAGCAGTGAACTTTCGGACTAACAGCAACACCTTGTTCGTTCTCACCCTGGTGCTTGGGAAGGCTTCTACGAAGCTGCCACGAAATGCGCCTTTTGTGCGATTCAAGGGCTCGCGGTGGGCGACGCGGCTGCCGAAATCAGTTCCCCGGGTGCGGTGGCGCACGGCTCTTATTCGCAGTCAGCAGGGTCAGGACTTGGCAGGGCAGGGGGCAGGGAGATGTGGGGAGGCTTCTGGCGAGGTTCTCGAAGAAGCGCTAGGAAGCGCATCTCAGGGGTGAGGAGGGCCAGGGACGCCCACGGGTGCCAGCAGAGCGGCAGACCTTCTCAGCTAGTCATTCAGCCTCTAGGAGAGGAATTTCAGCCTGTTGGAAGGAGGGGGAGCAGTGCAAAGCCGGGGGACCCCTGGAGGAACGGGGCTGAGGGGCAAAGAAGGGGGTGTGGCCATGTGGGGACCCCAGAGGGCCTGGGGCCTGAGGATCCACGCCCCTGCCCCTCTGTCCTGCGTCCTCTCAGAGGGAAGAGTCACCGTTTCCAGGTGGGGAGTGAGGTCCCTAGCATCCAAGCCTCTTGCGCCCAGCAGAAGGCGCCTCTGCAGCCCAGTTCTCGTGGTCGATGTGTTGGCCCTGAAGGTGTTGCAAGACCCGTTGCTGTTTGGGGAAGAGCCAGAGGTGTTTCTTAGGAGTGTGTGTCTCATCCTTATGCAGAGTTCTTGTCCGCCGGTCATCACGCCTCCTCCTCCTCACGTGATGTTTGCCTTGACAGACGAGCCGAGCTCTGCTTGCGGCCGGAACGACCACCGGTTTCGCTTGGCTGGGCCTGACTGACTGAGAAAAGCTCATTAAAAGACCTGATCAAATATCAGCTCCGGCCCAGCTGTCAAGAATGAGCCAGATTTTCTGTTTCTTTATTCACTGGGAAATTGGATGTACAGTAATGGGAAGAAGAGATGGAGGAGGTACAGATACTCCTGTTCAGTCCTTGCTGGCAGAACAGTGTCAGGCAGGTATTTAATCTGTCTAAGACACACTCCTATGTGTGTTTAGACAGAGAAAAGACCTGCAGAGTTGTAGGAACTCTTTCTGTCTAAACACGCATAGGATTGTGTCCTTAGCCTCCTAATTTGGCTGGGGATGATGGGAGTTATGGGCCAACCCCTCCAGAGAGCAGGAACGGATGGGTCTGCCCATTTCAGCTTCTTCTCACTTTCTCATTAAGTTCAGTTTGTCTCAAACTCTGAGAGTTTCTTCAGTCACATCTCAGTGCATCCTAAATATTGAGACAAATTCAAAACAACAGCAACAAAACTAGTTATGACCCTTTGTGGGCTTTCTTCTAATACATGCATTTTATGTGCATTTTTACCTAAGAGACGCTTTTTAACCAATTGTACTAATAGCATGCAATTTTGTTTTCTTTCAAGATGCGTATTGCTTGATTGGAAGACTCCAGAGCAACATTCAGAGAAGTGTGAATGTGAAGCGATATCCGGATCAGCAGAATGGTTTTGTTAGCCGCGAAGTCATGTCCGACCCATCGCGACCCCATGGACAACATTCCTCCAGGCCTTCCTGTCCTCCACCATCCCCAGAGTCCACCCAAGCCCACACCCACCGCCCCAGGGACCCCCTCCAGCCACCTCATCCTCTGCCGCCCCCTCCTTCTTTTGCCATCTATTGTTCCCAGCATCAGGCTCTTCTCCAGGGAGTCCTTCCTTCTCATCAGGTGGCCAAAATATTTGAGCTTCATCTTCAGCATCTGGCCTTCCAAAGAGCAGTCAGGGTTGATCTCCTCTAGGACTGACCGGTTTGGTCGCCTTGCGGTCCAAGGGACTCTCAGGAATCTTTTCCAGCACCACAATGCAAAGGCCTCAGTTCAGAGTGATTAGGAAATGCAAAATTAGGGGGGGTCACACTGAAATGGAAACAGAACGAATTCCCCGGCACCCAGCTGGGGAAGGGTTCTCTGCTCGTTTAGATGCAAACCATGAAAAGTCACCCACAGTGAAACATGTCGAAGGGGTGATTCCATCCATGCGTGGACACCTCCCACATCTGTGTGAGTCCGCAGTATGATGTTGTGTTTGTTTGGACAACCCCAGCAGAAAAGAAACAAGGTGAAAGCTTGATTTAGAGTTGGGTGTCAACAGGTCTGTGGCGCATCCCGTGCTCTTGGGGTGAAGAATGATCAGGCAAAGAATGAACACAGCCTTCAGACATCTCCAAAAGCGGCCAAGGGGCAGCGCTCGTAGCTTTCCCAGGTTCCAAGAAGCAGGAAGGTATTTTGGTAGCAGTGCGAACTCAGGAGAAAACGTGCCTGGGAAAGTTTTCTCCTTAGTTTTCTCCTTAGCAGTGCGAACTAAGGAGAAAACTTGGTGGTGGTCCCTCCCGGGTGCCCCTTCCCGTCTTCTGCAGGCAAATCTTCCCCACACATTTGGAAGCAGACTGGTGCTTCGAGCTGAGATGCCATTATCCAACCGGGGGCTCATGCCTGTTCAGCAGGCCAGGATTTCTGATTTTCACACCAACCATGGAGCAGGAGGGGGTTTGAACTAAACAAGTAAACAGTTCCGCAATAGCGGGGGCGGGGGGGGGGGAGAGGGAAAGGCTCCAATCTGAGTGATTACCTTGAGCGTTTTCAAAAACTGTGTGGAATCACCCTGCCCCTGCCACCTCCCTCCCACCCCCGCTGTCTCTCTCTCGCTCACTTGGTCTCTCAGCCCCTCTTTCCTCCCCCTCTTTCTGTCTTCTCTGCACACTTATAGCTAATCAGCCAGATTGCCATCAACTGTAAATTCAAAGAAGCTCCTCCTGGCTCGGCGCGGCGGCAGCAGCATCGCAGCATCTGAGAGGCAGCAGCTTCCCAGCTCCTGTTGCCGTAGCAACAAGGCCCCTTCCGTTCCGGAAAGGTAACAGCAGCCAGTCTCATGCGAGGAGGATGCGGTCCTGCAGCTGGAGAGCCGGAGAGGCACCGCCGAGCAGCCTCGGGGCAGGGGCGGCTCTGAGGGGACCGACCCTCGCAGGGTCCCCACTTCAAAGCACGCACCAAGAATTGTTAATTTTTCCTCACAGGTGCTTGGTCCAGCAGTCTTTTGGGCTGGACGGATGCTGCCGATCATCCTGCCCTTCTGGTCCAGTTGTATGGAAGCTCCCAATTCCTGTGGGGCTCGGCGTGGGGCCACAGCTGCGTGGGAGAGGGGAATGCCGCTCGAGTGCTGCTGAGAAGAGAAATGGCAGGTGGGCACGCAAACCTCAGTTTATGAATGGCACGATCCTACGCGTGTTTGGGAAAAAGGCCTACAGCTCCCAGCATCCCCCAGCTAGCAGAAAAAAGTCCTACAGCTCCCAGGATTCCCCTGGGGGAATGCCCCAATCATGCATAGGGCATCCTAACATTCCAGCGGCTTTTCAAAATACAGTGGGCTCTCCATGAAAGTGGAATCTCTCTCCCTCTCAAATAGTTCTTAGCATTGCCGCTGAGGAAGTTCTTCTCTCGTGCTTCTCAGTGGATCCTTGATGTGTCCTTGGTTTTGGTGACGGTGGCGGAGGTAGGAAGGACGCATCAGTGCAAGAAACAACACTTTGTCAAGGAAGGCTGTTTGCCAGGAGTAGGTTAAGGGTTAATGCCAGCTTGAAGAAGACGAGAGACGCAACAGCAGCACTGATGGATTTTGAAGTACACTCTTGGCCCCGTCCTTGTCAGGCAGCGGGAAGGGGCATCCCAGGCAAGTGACCGATCAGAAGGAATTAGTGCCACTCGCTCATCAGCTCTGAGATCTGGTGGTGGGAGACGAGAGAGAGGGAGAGCGGAAACTCTAAGCTCTCTCTGTCTCGCTCACATCCTTTCACTAGTGATGCTCGGGGCTAAATACTGGACCATCCCACCAGGGATGGGTGACCTGACCCCACTAGTAGCTTGGAAAGCAGTGAACTTGTCTATGGGAGCTTGGAAGAGAAGTCCGTTCTAGCACAGAATCTCATCCTGTGTGTAGGAATTTTTACCCATGGGCAAAATCAAAGGTTTCTTAGCTTCTGTTCCAAAAGCTCGGAACGCTGCTCTGAAGGCGTAATGGGTGACTGGCTGGCGGGCCTTGTATTTCTCCCTGCCCCTTTTCCTTTGCCCACCCCTGGTCTGGTGCCCCCCAAGAAGGTCTCACTGGATGGGCTCCTCTGGGCAAAGACCACCGACTGGCTGCTCCTCGAAGGGGAGGCGCCCTCCAGAGATCCAGCTCAGCCCCTTCCGTGCTCAGCTTCCCATGTGCCCCGCTTCCGAGGGATGACGTCCCCACCTGCCTAGGTTATGTGGGCCATGGTGGCTGATGCAGGGGCACAGGTGGCCCCTGGGCCTGCCGTTCTGATTGGGAGCTTTCCCTGCAAAGCCACATTTAGGCGAGGATGCGGCAGGCCGGCCCGCAAGGCGCATGTCTGGATGAGTGGCGAATGCAGCATGGAAACAATTCCTCCGACCCGCCACCCTTCTTCTAATGACTAGCGTCATCTCCTGCCGTTTGCTCTAATGATACCTCCAGTCATTGTGTCAACAGTGCCGGCCAGGACACTTATAAATGAAAGAATGATCAAAACAAAATGTTTTGTCAGCTTCCCCAACTGAACCAGCCAGCCCAAGGCCAAGTCATTAAAATGAGCTCCGCTGGTAACAACAGTGACCTTTCATTAAGAAAACAGCATTGGCTGGCTCACCGCGGGCATCTGCGAGATTAACAGAAGGCCTGCTTTTCCTCTTTCCCACCCCTGGGATCTGCTCTTTCCTGATTAGGGAAGAATTACAGTCATTAATGCCATCGCTAATAAACTTTTGTGCCCGCCCCTGTTTCTCTGAGGAATGCTCTCCTCCAGGCCTGTGGAAAGCCAAAAACTGGGAAACCAGCCCCAATTCCAACCTATACAACCCCCCACCCCATTTCAGCAGAATCAGCACATGGGAGTGTGGGGTGGAAGGCCGTTCTGTTCCACCCGGCTCGGTTGTTGCATCCTACAGGCACGATCAATAGCGTCAGCAAAAGGTTTTTCTGCCGCATAAATTCATAAATTGCAGAGGAGGTCTGTTGCGAAATTGACAGATCTCCCTGGATGTGTGAACTGGTCTCTCTTCCTGGCCAGGACACTGAATGGCGGATTTAGGGCTGGAAGGGGCATTGGCTTTCCTGCCACCCTGCCTTCTTCTCCGTGCACGGCTGTTCTGATCGGCTGCTTTTGCAACTTGGCCCTGGGCCTGGACGGTGCTGCTGGCGTCTGGCCGCCATGGGGAGAGACCTGAATTCTCCCGGAGAAGCAAACCGGAACTCCTGATCTGGGGATCGACGTGGCTGTTGTGTGCCCCCTGCCACCTGCAGCCGCCGCATGGCTTCTAGAAATCCCAGGCCCTAGAGCAATATGTGGAAATGGCATATGTGTGGGAAGTTGCAAAACTTGGACCAGGAATTGTTAGCTCTGGGCAACACAGTGGGCCAGTGCGGCTGCAGCGAGATGCTAAAGTCAGAGCGGCAAGCAAGAGGGGGCAGAGGAAGAAGACGGAGAGCTCAAGGAGGTGGTTTTCCCTCCCTGCACTGCTGGCACGCCTTGCCCCATGAGGAAGAAGAACTGAAGATCTGAAAAATCTCCCCCCGCACCCGGCCAATATGGTGCATATTCCTCTAGTCCTGAGCTTCTCTAGATATTGCTTAAGTGTGGCTTTGGGGGTGTCTTTTCTGCTTGCAAATGGGACCTGCACTCCCCAAGAGTTCTGTTTCCTTGAAAAATATCTGTGTCTGTTTTGGTCCATAAGTGACTTAGGGCCAGTTGTTGAACTCTCACCCTGAGCTACCTTGCAGGACTGTTGAGGATAAAATGCAGAGGTGGGGGGCCATATAAGCACCCGTGTTCCTTGCAAGAGGAGGAAAGAGGGGGGCATGAATGTGATAATGGTAGCAGTAGTCACAGCAGCAGCGGCATTCAAGCATGCGGTTTGCGCTTCAGCCCTCAGTGCGGCTTTGCTTGCAAAGTTGCCCAAAGGACGGGGTGAAGGAAGAGTGCTCCACCTGGCACCGGGAAGAGCACAAGGAAGGCTCCTGCCTTCTCACCTGTGGTGCAAACACTCCGAGCAGGAGCGGTTCTGCCCCATCGTTTTTCCTTTGCACGGTTTCCCTGGCATCCCTAACGGCCTTTATCACTTCACATCAGACGAGATCGATGTGGAACGCTTTGAAGTGCGCCTCTGCTTGCCTTAACAAGCCATGGATCAAGCCCTGCGGGCGGACGGTCCCGTCCTTGCCAACCGTGCCGGGGGTGGTCCTTGGCTTGCCAGCTGCTGCCGTGCTTGCCAGCTCTTCCCTTCCAAGAGCTCCCCAGTTCTCCACTTCTGCCAGTGTGACTTGCTGCCTTAATGAGAACGGCACGTCGCCCTTTACGGGCTGTATCAATTTCCTGGCCATGAGGGGCACATCCTCTTTCATACCTGGTCCAGGTAGGTGACGAACGCAGAGACACTCGGGAGGGAGGCAGCTTTCTGGCACGGCATGTGCTCAACAGTCTGTCTGGGATCCAGATGAAGCTTGCAAGAAAGGATGCTAGCCTTCTGCAGGTTTTCACTTTCCACTTATTTTCCCAGCTGTTCCCTAGTTCAGAAGCCCCACTTCCCTCATTTCCGATTCTGACTTAAATCCAGTGAATATTTTAATATCAAACTGCTATTTCACAAGGGAATCCGACTTCTTTTGCATCTTCCTACTTGTCCATGCTGTTTTGGGATGGGGGCGGCGTTCCACTTTCAGGTAGGTCCGGAAGAGCAAAGCCACCTTCTGGATGGGGAAGGAGAAGGCAGGGAGGGGCTGCCTCCTAGTCCAGCCGAGGGACCAGATTCAGTGCAGCAGAAGCACTCACGTTCCAGGAGCGAATCAGGCTGAACGCAAATGAGGAGAAGTCAAAATAAGGAGACTGTCACGTTCAGGGCAAAACTCCAGATCACCGCCTGACAGGCAATAACCCACCCTCAAGGGTGGAGCATGGGTTGTTGCTGAACTGTGAGTTGTTGCTCAACAGTGGCTTGCTGTGTTTTGTGGATCCAGCCGAGATAACCAACCACAGTGACCAAAGCCCGGGCTCTTCGTGGGTTGTTTGCCGGACATGCTCACCCAGAATCCAGGCCCACGATAAAGCAGACTGGAGACGGGGAGGGGACCCAGTGGATCTCCACTCTGCAAATGGATTCTTCATGCATCCCTACTGGAGAGACCCAGGCTTCCCTCTGCTTTCATGAATGATGCTCCACCCCTTGCCCATTTCTGCACCTTTCCAGATGAAACCGTTTCCTTCCTGAACAGCATCGCTTGCTGGGGACGGATCCAGGGCTCACCTGGTCAAGCATTGTTCTATGTTTACTCTGCCACTTCACGTGAGTGCACTTGCCAATGTGGGAACTGCGTCGCCGGGCATGGCATGGCTTCTTTTGCAAGCGCACGTCTTGCGAGGTGGCTTCCTGCCAGCCTTTTACTCCGCAGGACTGAGACAAGTTGTTTACTTCAGTAATTTTAGCACTTGTAAAGGCTTTATCAAGTCTCTGCAGGAAGGGAGTATCTTAGAAATGCTGCTCCATGGGGACTAAAGAGGACGGTCCGGAGGTGGGAAGGAGAGAGGCAGCCGAGAACTCCAGCGCAGAGGAGAAAAAGCTCAGCCTATTGATTATAGGTGCGGTGCTTCATTTTGAAACTGTGGTTCCGATTCTTTTTCCTGGCATGACGTTGATGGTTGCTACAGGCCTGGTGATCCTTCCAATGCAGAAATGGCAAAGCTGGAAAGGCGTCCGTGTCGCCTTCAACCCCCCTGGTTCAGTGCTGGGAGCTGCAGGCAGAGCTTTCGAAGGGAGGTTGTCTCACAGCCGATCGTACGCCCCAGCTCCCGTCTCTGCAGGTCGGGGGAAACAGACCAAATCAGGTGTAACAAGACACATATGCTGTGTTTTGTGTTATATTGTTGTATTGTTAAACTGTTGCGAGACTTCGGTAAGGGACGGTCTAGAAATGTTTTAAAAAAATAAATATACCTGAAGTTTGCCGGCATATCACCACCAACAAAACCGTAAAAAAACCAAAACGATAAAGGGGCAGCCCCAGTCTCCCTAGACCAGATCACAGCCCATTGGAGGTGGTGGTAGTGGCGATGAATACTAAATAGATGTCCGCCTCCTTGGACCTCCTTGGATCAGTTTAAAGCACCCACGATGCAGAAAGCTGCCATGACAGGTTGCAACTGTGAACTCCACTGACTGAAGAGAACGGCGACACCAAATTTACGGCCTCTCGCTGGGCGCATCATTGCAAGGTGTTTTCGATTGTTCTTGACTCTGTGAAGCTGCAGGAACAACGTATTGATTGGAATTCAATAGGATGACCGAACCCACGGTCTGGTTCACTTGATCTTGAGTGGCAGCGAGGTCGCCAAGGAGGACTTACCGACTTGATCAGGTTCTGAAGCGAACAGCCAGGCAAAATTCTCTCCCTGCTTTGATCCCCGTGTGCGGTTGCATCCTCTCAGAAGCGCTGATGAAACACTTCCCAGCAATTTCTTTTTAAAGTGCCAAAATGAAACGGAGAGCACCTGTCCCTCGGTCTCTGGTCTCCACTGGCCTTGCTCTGAAGCCCGGAGGAGGGGCCTCGTTTTCCGGCAGAGTGTCTAGTCGATCCTTGCACGGAGCTGCAACATGCAGGGGATAAACCCACCCAATAAGCCCTGCTCTGTCTACCAGGGGTGAAAATTGCAAAAAAGACCAGTTTCAGGTGCTAGTGATGACTTATAAAGCCCTGAAGAGCTTAGGACCTGGATACTTGACGGCACGCCTCCGCCCTATATACCTGCCTGGCCTCCAAGGTCTGGGTCAGAGGTCCAGCAACTGGAATTTTAGTGCAACAGGACAGAGCCCTTCCTCTGACCCAGAGGATGGAGCCATGCTTAGGGGGTGTACAATAAGCTGAGCCCCCGCCTCCATTCTCAAGGGAGTGGAATGGATGGGACGCTAGCAGGGAAGCTCCTCGCATCTGCCACGGGGGGTCACCTCACTCTGCCTGGGGTTCAGGGAGGGCCGCGGATGCCCCCACCTGCGGGGAGCTCTGTTTGCCGTAGCTTCAGGCTGAGGGTCGTCGGAGTGGCGCTGCTGCTCCACAGCGCTGAGCCGAGCGTTGCCCGTGGATTCCAGCACCACGGGCAGCTCCCGCGCAGCTCCAGTAAGAACTGCGGCAGCGGTGGATTCCCACGGGCCGAGGAGTCCCCAGCCTTCCCTCCGAGTGGCAGGGCCAGCTCTGTTGGCTGGGTTGGAGGAGGAGAGCTGCCGGAAGGAAGAGAAAGGGCCCCGGATCGCTCATCACTTCCAGCCCTTCCCGCTTGGGAGAGAGAGACTCCAGTCCTCATTCTTATCCATCTGTCATTTCCCTATTTTATTAGGCCTGTTAAAGCTCTCACAGGGCTCTCCATCATCTATTGCTTTCATAATGCTTATATATCACTCTATATGCTTAAATCTCTAAAGCTGCAGTCCTACGGAAGCTTAGGCAGAGAAGGACGTCCAGTCTGAATCGGGGCTGTCGCAACTTGACTAGATTATTCCGTGTCCTGCACTCTGGCATCAGCCAGAAGAGGTCTTGGCCTTCCTCTTTGTGACAGCCTTGGAGGGACTTCTAGAGGGATCTCATGTCCCCCCTCCGCCTTCTCTTCTCAAGGATGAACATGCCCAGTTCTCCCAGTCTCTCCTCACAGTCATGGCATGGCTGTGGTTTCAGTGCATTTATGACATGAAATGACACATAGTCAGGCGATTATTTTGATCAGGGATGGCATGTATTTCTTGGCAACACATGGGGAATGTTGATCGAGCAGTTTGGCGTGGTATGGTGGTACGGTACGGTATGTGGAGAACGGAAACCTGAGTTCCAGTTTTGGAACTGGAATAATTTATCGGCCATCAAAACAGCCCATCTCTCCTCAAGACCGATTGGTCTGGAGTCTAAAATGTCTTTGGTGCACAGCACTGCCCATTGTGAACCAGGCAAAAGTGTGAACAAGCACCTTCGCGGGCAGCTTACGGGGAAGCCGAGACTGCAGTTGTGGAAATTTGCACAGAAAGTTTGCACAGAAAGTCATTTTCATGAGCCGCCCTCCAATGAGTTTGCAGGGTTTGGATTTCCATCACAGGGAATTCTTGTTTTCTTTCTCCACAGCCCCTGACATGGTTGCCTCTCCACCGACATGGAGTTGCTACACACAGCTCAGCTCCACTTACAACTTTGGAGACACAGAAGACCCCAAGTTCCTTACTCCTTGCTGATTTTTTTTTTTTTTTAATAACACATCGAACATGCTATGCCTTTCATCTTCTTCTTTTTTTCTTTTTCTTTTTAATTGAGGGAATGCTGCTCAAAAGGAATAATCTAGTTAAAAAATCTCAGCGGGGATGGAATGTAATTAATGGAAACAATTTCATTTTGGAGCAATCTCTTCTTCACCTGCGAAAGAAACCAGCAGCTGTCACTTCGCTCATTTCTCAATCACAGCACAGACGATTCTATTCTCATCAACAACAGCACTGATAGTAAAAAAAAAAGTAATTTTAAAAAAATCTGGGCCATATTTCTTGGATGTTGCTGAGCTGGATCTCAGGTACAATTAATATATGAACACTGTGAAGCACAGTAAATCTTTCCTGATTCTAACAGGTCATTATAGTGTGCGCAGTAGCCAGTGCGAAGGGCATGTGGAGACGGCAGATGGAAGCTTCTTTCTCTTCTTCAGACCTTCTCAGTGGCTGTTCCCAGGGGAGGCTGGTGGCCTGGATGCCAGTGCAGCGGTGTGTCCACCCACTCCTGGCTGCCTTCCGATCAGTCACGGAGCTATCCATGGGGCAGAACTTGAAGCAGGGATGGGTCCATCCCCATGGACAGCTGCTGTAAAGTTCAAGCTACCATCTGGAGTGGATTCACTTCCCACTGAGGTTGGGTCCACCAGCCTCCACTGGTCCAAAAGGCACGGCCATCCACTCAGAAAGCCTAACTTGTCCTGAAGGACAGCTGTTTGGGCCATCAACTGGGCTTTCTACCGTGCCAACTTCTGAGGAAACCTCCTTGAGGTGGGTTGACACAATTCCCACATGTGCTGATGGTCCAGCAGACCTCATGTGTTGTGTACGGAACCTTCATCCTAAGAACATCAACGCGAGGACGTGTTCCATCCCATAACAACTCATTCACGTTGAAAGTGTGCACATGCAGGGTCTGGGTTTATATGCCATGGAGAAGAGCCATGGCGGTTGCCATGGTGTGCAGGTTTATCCCTGACCCCACCAGTCAAGCAAGCACCTGGCTACCTGGCAGCCTGAAGTCCTTCCAGCTTTGCCACAGCAGCTCAATATCATTCTGGTTTCTCCGTTATGAGCCTTTCATATTTAACACACCCAACTTCTGGTGTGGGTCCTCCAATGATTTGGAGGCATCACCAGAACTGGGAAATGATATACTAGGGGGGGAAACCCAACAACCACCCAAGTGACAGATCAATTATATGTGTATTATAACCATAATGCAAGAACCCTATCATTTCTGTACCAGTTTTTTAATCACCCTGCAATATATCATAAGATATATTTATGATAAGAGAATGTTGTATGTATAATAGATCTGTCACACTGTGATTGATTACTTTTCTCTCCACAACAGGACCGGTTTCTGAATTTTTCACTGGCAATCACCTTTTCTTTCTCAATTATTTTGGGCAGAGGTTCAACAGGTGCAGCCTCCTGTAACCACACTGGGGTGCTAATGAATGCGAACAGCTGTTGCAATACTAAGACGAGTACAGGCCAGAGGACTCCACTTATCTACTGGAAAAGAGAACGGTTTTCTGTGCTTTGATCATGCAAGAAGCAAAACAGCTTTCCAACCTGGCCACGCACCAGGTCATCGCCTTTGAAGTTTCCAGATAAAGGATGAACAGGAAAGATGGCTTCTTTTTGACATTTTTTTTATTCTTGCCTTCCCAGCACCTCTCCAAGACAATCATTCCTGGAACTGTGGTGATGACATATTTATTTAGTTCTTTAAAGCTTTCACATCCCACCCTTCACCGTGTCTCAGGTTGGTAACGTGGTACGTGTCCTTTGAAAAGATGCTTCCATGGGTTTCCACGTTTGGTGGTTTTTGGTCAGCTCCCACAAAGATGTAGCGCCCATGGGAATGCTGTAACTTGCACACAGAAAAGTTGAAGAATGGGGAGGCGCCGGGCATCCACATCTTCTCTTGCAGGTTGAGCAGAAAACCTGCCAATATCTTATTTAGAGCATCTAATATAGGATGAAAATGCCCAGTGGATGTTAATACAGAGCAGCAGCTTCCTTCTTCCGGCATCTGCCTTTTATTATTCCAGACATTTTGCTGATGCCGGAATATTTGTTTCTGCAGTGGAGGCTCCCTGGCTGGGAATCTCCACTAATGCAGCTTGACACACTTCATTTAGAAGATAAGAAAAGTTGTACAGAAAAGAGGCAGAAATAGGAAATGCCCCAAGCGAGCAGGGCACCCATTTTTTGCTTTGTTTTTTTCTCTAGAGGGGGCAGGAAAAGGCCTCGAATGGCGGAGCAATAGGCGGCATTGTTCCTTTTGGTTAAACATGTATCAGGGAGGGCCAGTGGGAGGTCTGAGGGTAAGGCCCATAGGACAAAAACGAGCTGCACAGATTGCATATGTGAATTTCCATATTCTCTCTCTCTCTCTCTCTCTCTCTCTCTCTCTCTCTCTCTCTCTCTCTGTGTGTGTGTGTGTGTGTGTGTGTGTGTGTGTGTGTGTGTCTTTAAGGCATTCTCTCTCCCAAGAGCCCCTCAATTCGTAAAAAGGAATATGCTAGACTGCAGGGCGAACCAAACCTCCCCAGGCAGGGTTTTTTTGCTTGCCCGGGGCTTTGCCTTCTGGTCTGATGTGCTTCCCAGCTCTGAGTCCTGCCACGACCGGGGTGCATTGGTCTTCGGCACCCCAACTTGCTTCCTCTGTGCTCCCTATTGCCATGGGTCTTCCTTCTCATCCGCTGCTGCCAGGGGCTGGGCAGGTGGGCAGAGCTTCCCGGTCACGCCAGGCAGGGCCGGTGGCTGCAATCGTGCCTGTGCTTGGACGGAGAACGCAGAAGTGGCCGTGTGGTGGGGAGAAGGGGGCAAGGCAGAGGGGCAGGCAACCCGCCTCAGCATGGGTGGCCCCTACACTCCCCCCGCCCCCCCCGACCTGCCCAAAGCTAGAAGAGGACTCAGATTTGCATAAAGTTTGCACGTGCTCCTTTTTAGATCCAGAGGCAAATTTGGCAAGAACAATTTCAGTGGAAATATAATCCATCACCTTCGACAGGGGTCTTTCTTTGTTATTCTTTATTCCTAGAGAAAAAGGTTCTGCTCTTTCCCCAGCTTGTTTTGGAGGCCTGAAAGTGACATGCAGATTCTGTATCTGAACACTCAAAAAGCAAAAAAGAAAAACCAAACCAAACCACACCACATCCATTAAAACAGAAAACTCTTAAAATCGCTGAACAGCAAATTAAAATAACAGATCAGCAAAAAAGAGCGAGGGAACCTTTTAAAACCACAGTGTAAATCAACAGGAAGTGGTAAAAGCTTTTTCAGACGTACGAGAGACCCCAAGGGGAAGTAACAGCAGCTTGGTCTGGCATGCTGCACAGGGAGCTACCAATAAGTAAGGGGGCTCACCACAGGCCCATCCCTGCACCCCTCCCCCATGGATTTCACGGTGTTCGTAGAATTTGAACCCACCTCTTCCCAGTCTAGGGAAAGTGCTCCAGCTCACCATTGTCCTGCCTAAACACGAGCAGGGTTGTGCCCTCCCGGCCTCTCTCAGCTCCCCGGGTCTACACCCTCCCCGCTAGCTCCAAGCCCCCCATTGCAGGACAAAGGCTGCACCTGCCGTGGGGCCTCACTTGACAGCCCTTCCAAGCCTGCGTGCGCCCCATTGCCTGCCTGCCTGCCTTCGGCTCCCCAGCCAGCCCCAGCCCCAGCCCCAGCGTGGCGTTTTCAGCTCCCTCAGTGCAGCCCTTTCTTCGCCGGATCCTTCACCCCCGCTGCCGCCCGCTGCAGCCACTTCTCTCCCTCTTGCTCCTCATGGTTGCCGCTTGCTGGCTTGGCCTGCAGAGGCCGGCGAGCAGGCAGGCAGCGACAGCCCCTGCCGGGGGCAGGTGAGCAGGCAGGCTGCAATGGTGGGGCCGAGGAGCAGCGCCAGGAGACTCCGGGCCCCGGCCCCTTGGAGTGTGGCCCCTTGGCAAATGCCCAGCTGTGCTGGGCCTGGGGGCAGTGGAGCCCAGGACCTCCACCGTGTGAAGAATAAGCTGCTTCTAAGATGTCAGAGAAATCCACAGCCGATGCAGATGAGCCGGGGTGTCTATCAACCCAACCGGGAGATGTGGGACTGCCTTTTTTCTTTTTTCTTTTCTTTTCTTTTCTTTTCTTTTCTTTTCTTTTCTTTTCAAGGGGATCTGAGCAAATGCACCCTTGAGCTAATGCACAAGCGCATACGACTCTCTTACATCCCGAAGCCATGTCCAGTTACACCAGTGAGCAGAGAGTGGAATGAAAGACACCTGGCGACCTGCAAGACAGAGACGGGGCCAAGGGAACCCATCCCGCATGTACCACTGAGTCGGAAGGGCTTTCCGGAAAAGAGGGATCATGGGATGCGACTCTAGACTGCCCGTGGAAGTGCAGCTGCCTCAGTGCTCCCTCCTGAACGTGAGCTCAGCCACTTCTCTGCGTCATTCCTTGCATTGCTGAGTTCCTTCAACTTGGCCTTTTCCAGCCTGGGGCTGGTTTACAATTGGCCGGGGATGATGGGCACTTCAGGCCAACACATTTGGAAGACACCGGGTTGTGGAAGGCCACCTAACAAGAGGTTCTAGGGATTAGGGTTAGGTGTGTGCAGTTCAGAAGAGGGGCTCAGCCCATAGGCAGTGGCCCCAATCCACACAGCGCGTTTCAGAAAACAAGCTCATGCCGGACCACTCTAGCTCTGTAGCTGAGCTGCTCAAGGAACACAGGAGCAGAGGTGGCTGGGTGCTCACACAGCAAGCCAGGTTGAATATGGGTTGGATCTTGGGTTGTGGCTGAACCATGGGCTGTTGTGTTGGCTGAACCCAGCCACTCTTGCAAGCCATGGTTTTACTAACCATGAAGCGAACCCATGGTTCAGGAGGAAAGTCTTGGTTGGTCATGGTTAAGAAACCATGGCTTGTCACCAGAGCTTGTTACTATGGCTGGAGTCACACAACGCAACAACCCATAATTCAATAACAGCTGGCAGTTTGACAAGAACCACACTCTACCCATGGCCAACCCATGCCCTGGCTTGTTGTGTGGGGAGAAACAGGTCCCTGAGTCAGACCACCGGTCCATCCAGCCCAGTACTGCCAACAGAGACTGGTAGACGCTGTCCCAAGTTTCAGCCAGGGTCCTCTCCTATCCGCTTAGAAATGCCAGGTTTGCACATGCAAAGCGTGCGTCTGCTGTGGGGCTGTGGCTTGTTATGCGCGAGTCTCTTCCCTCCCCTCCCGCACTGCCCCTGTCTCATTCGATAAGCGTCAAATCCAGGTTCTACCAAGTCTGTCAAGGTCACTTTCAACATATTACAGTTCATTGGGCAGCCTCGCTCCACTTCGTTTGCAATTTTCTCCCGTCCGTGTTTGCTTATTTTGATCTTAAGTAGCCGAGCACCCATGGAAATTGCTGGCTGTGCATCCAACGGGAGGAACGGCAGCCAGGCCGCTGTGGTGGGGCGTGTGGGTGCGGAGAAGAGCAGGCGGGGGGGGGGGGTGAGAAGGCTGGTGGAAACATTTCGTAGCAAGGTCTGCTGTGTCCCTTCCTGAAATGAGCGTGTGTGTCAGACCGTAAGTGGGAACCTTGTCAGAGGAACCAGAAAATGAGCTCTGAAAACTTGCACAGGCGATGGGGGTGCTTAGATGCAGGACACTGCCACCTCAGTGGATTGCACCCTTCATCCATTCAGCCCAGTGTTGCCTGCACAGGCTGGCAGCATATTTATTTATTTATTTATTTATTTATTTATTTATTTATTTATTTATTTATTTATTTATTTATAACATTTCTATGCCTCCCCCATCGCAACAAGCCTCGGGGCAGCTCACAACATCCATAAAATAAACATAAAGATACAATCAGTAATTTAAAAACTGGTACCATCTCGGCTAGATATATTAAAATCTAGAAATACAATAATAATAAATTAATAAATTAACAGTTAAAATAACTTTTGAATAAAAAGGTCTTTGCCTGGCGCCGAAAAGCAAATAACGACGGCGCCAGGCGGACCTCTCTGGGGAGCGCATTCCATAGGTGGGGCGCCACCGCAGAGAAGGCCCTCCTCCGGGTACTCACCCTCCTAATATCCTTCACGGAGGGTTCCCGGAGAAGGGCATCCGCTGCCGATCGTAGGGGGCGGGAGGGCATATATGGGCACATATATGGGCATATATCTTTCAGAATCCCCAGGAAGGGAGGGGGTCTTTTCCATCACTTGCTGCCTGAACTTTCTTCAGAGATGAGATACCAAGGGCTGCTTGCTCATGCAAGAGGTGCAGATGACGCGCCAGAATTAAGGTATCCAGCAGACACATATCCACCCCTCATCTGGTCTGCCCCACCGGTTAAGACCCCCAGCCATCCCATGCTGGGAGACCTCCCTTCTGAAGTTAGGCTCTGGGACAGCTAGTGGTGGGGCTCGCCCTTCCCCAGAGGTGGCTGTCTGAGCCACCATCTCCTACTCTGTTTCAAGGCGTTCCATTTGGCAGGGCCTCTGGTGGATGAGCTACAACAATGCTTTGCAGGGCCACGGATACTCAAATGCCATCTTTTGGTATGCATCTCAGCCTCCTGTCGGAGACTTCCAGCCAATCTTTTCTGTCTGGGGTCTCCCCGGCATATCTGCCAGCCAGCCAGGCTCACGATGCCTCCCTCTTACTATTTTGAATTGACTGGGCAACTGGGCTGCTGTTTGGTTATCAATGGCCTTCTTTATCGGAGTTCAGACTTCAGCTGTTGAGTTACAGTTTTTCTATTTCTCCGGTTTACCTTTCGGGAAATGGTTCTTTGGAAAGTCTGTGGTCATCAGGGAACTCCCCCCTTTGGTAGGAAGGCCCATGGAACTCTCCCCAAATTCCCACTGACCCCAAAAATGTGGCAACCATCGATGCTTATGATCGATAGATTATAGACCAGTAGGGGCAGAATGGGTGTCGGATGCTTCTGTCCGGAGCTGGTGCGGCCACAACCGGCAAACGGATGCCACTGTGCTTTTGAAAGGAGACACCCAGCTGCAAATCCATGTGCTTACAGAAGGGGGACCTCCCTCTTTTCTCAGCAGAGTGGCACATCAGCTGCCTTGCAGGAGAGTTTCAACGAATACCCTGCTTTCATCTTTGCAAATAAAGCAAATGTTACCCCCGAAATCTCCAGTGCTCTCTCTTCCAAAGAAAATCAAACCAGGGAAGGTTTGCATCTTGGAAAAAGGGCAACGTGTATGGGGGAGCCTGCAGAACATCTCCTGCTTCTCCCCAAGACAGAAGGTCTCCATCTGTGGTGGCCCTTCTCTGGGTTCTGCTGGTTGCCAAAAGCACCCTCTCCAACACTCCGGTGTGGCAAGATGGCGGAGGTGGCGATTCTCCCTTTCTCCAGACGACATAGGCAGGAGCAGTGAGTGGGAACCTTTCCACTGCATGCCGTTAACACCACTCTGGGGCACATGGGTATTTTGACTTAAGCCATCTTTATTACTAGGGTTGGCTGAAGAACTCCATGAATTTCTCTGGAACCTGAGGACAAATGAGGAAATGTCAGCAATATATAGGACGTATTTTTTTTTTTAAATGCTTAGTTCACCCTCCCATCACATTCTTCCATCATGGTATAACATGCCAGTATCTGGACAGGGATAACCTGTCCAGTAACCAAGCACAGGTGACCTCCAAGTTAGAGCACTGCAATGGGCTCTGTGTGGAGCTGTCCTTGAAGATCGCTCAGAACCTGGGCCTCGTGCGAATGTGATAGCCAGGCAAATCAGTGGGACCAGAAGGTCTGGCCATATAAGACCAGTTCTGGCTGGCTTGCATTGGTTGCCTGCAAACTTCCAAGCCCAATCCAAGGTGCTGGTTTTAACCTGCAAAGCCTTCCACAGTCTAGAACCACAACACTCCAGATGTTCAACAACTGGAGGCTTCCCCCAAGTGCCAACTCTGAGAGATGCTAGGAGGACAGCGAGGGAAGGGAGGGCTTCCTGTGCAGTGGTTCCCCAACGTTGGCATGGCCCGGCCTGCATGGTGCCGGCCTTGCCATCTTCTCAGCACCAGGCTAAGGCAGCCCTTTCTGCAGAGGTTTTTAAGGATAAGCTTGGCTATCTGAGGGCTTGAGGGAATCACTCATTCCAGGTGTCTTCATTACGGGACTACTAGTTAGTAACAATCTTGCTTTGCCTTAAGGCACACGCCTAGCCAGGTTTAGACAGAGCAAAGGCCTCTAACCCCGCAAGCCCCACGGCCGGTTAGGAGTTGTGGTCATTCTGCGCATAAGATTGTGGCTTGGCTGTCTTTGACTCTTGTGATTGTGAGAACCACCTTCTGGAGTCATCATGGGTATGTCCCTCCTTTGAACCCAGAATGGCTGTACGGGGGTTTCCATTCTTTCACCTTGTCTTTGTTTTTCAGCAAAATTTCATACGTGGCGGAAGCTTTCGCGATCAGCTCGTCGGCCTCCATATCAACTATGCTGTTGCACAGCTGTACTGAGAAGAAAAGTGACAATAGCAATGCAGTCTCGACTCTCCTGATCTCATGCATTCTGCATGTTTATGAACATGCTGCGTTCTTAAATCTTTAGACCACACTACAAGAAGAATCGCAGAGGGACAAACGAAAAGTCCGTTTAGTCTAGCATCTGTATTCCCTCTAAGAATGGAGGGTGACATTCACCTGGTTCACATTTTGATGGGAACTTAGCTATATTTTCCATTTTGAACTTTTATTCCAAACAAGACTCCCGCATCGTTCAACATTTGTGCTTCTCTGATGGGACTGAATTCTCTAATTAGAAAACGCATATTGAAAATATGGCTGTTAGTAAAAATGCATGAAATGCATGAAGTCATGAAAATCATGTTTAAAATTGTAGGAAAAGCATTTGGAAGATTTGTCGGCTGAGCAAACGCACGTGTATTTAGAGAAACACACACAGAAGTTCTCATAGAAAAATTCTAAGAGTCTTGATGAACTGCAGAGTAGAAAAATGAGTAATGCAGAGAAATTTGACAGATCCATCCATTCCTACTTGGACACTGGACAGCCAGACCACATTTCTGGCCGTCTCGAATGTCTCCTATTCTTATCAGCTAAGATTCCTCTACATGCAGCCTCTCATTCTCTTCCAGGCATCCATTTCTCAAAGAATACTTTGTGTTGGCCCTTTGGATGCCATACTGACAACGAACAGAGTCCCTGAACAGACACCCATAGGATGGAGGCTCGAAAGCAGACTGATGCATGATAAACCTTGCGGGAAGGGGCAGTGAGAATCTAGACGTTCATTAGTTTCTTTCTTTGTTTATGAAATCTATAAATTGCACCCTCCACCTACAAGGCACCTGGGGTGATGCACAATAAAAATTTAATTAAAACATCTCCTAGAACCAAATAACACCAGGAAGGAAACCACCACAGCAAAGCAGCAATAACAAAGAATAGAAGTCGGGAGCGGCGTTCAGATCGAAGGCTGGCCAAGGCCACTACGGCACTGACAAAGCAAAACAGAAGCAGACTGGACGGCCGACCTGAATGCACCCCAGGCAAGCCCTGACCTCTGCTTCCCGAGGAGCGAATCCCAGAATTGGGTGCTGGTATTGAAAAGGTCCCATCTTGAGTACCTACCCAGTAGGGAGGGGTGTGTGCGCGCGTGTGTGTGTGTGTGTGTGTGTGTGTGAGAGAGAGAGAGAGAGAGAGAGAGAGAGAGAGAGAGAGAGAGAGAGAGCGCATCTATAGGCAGCGATCCACATACATGCACATCTGTGTGCTCATGTGCACGTGTGTGTGCGTGTGAGTGAATGCGTGAGTGGTAATCCAAAATTGAGAAAACTGGATCAGTAGGGAGAGGGGCGAATTGGTTGGCCAGGAGACTGGGAGAAGAACGACAGACTTTGCCTTTTATCCATTGGTTTCTGCTGGTTCTAATGGAATTCTAGAGTCCTCTGGGGCTCACATGCCCTCCCTGCTTTTGTGCACAGTCGTTGGGGAGGGTCGCTTGCCCTTTGCCTAGGGGCACAATTCCTCAGGCTGCCGTATGTGGGCTCCCCAAAGGTTGCCTCCTCTGCTTCAGGTGGTGGGACATATCACATGACCTTCAGTGAAGACACTAAATTATGGACGGGAAGGAGATGGTCCTTCGGATATCCCGGCTCCAAACTAGGCATACCCCATCAGTTTTCGCCTGACCCTGCAACTTCACAATGCCATACTCTCCAGAGTTTCTTTAGGTGGCTCCCAGGGTGAGATCCCAGTGGTGGACTGGAGCTTGAGCCCAAATGTCTGCATGGGCTTCCATTCTGTGTGGTTGTATATGAAAGCTTGAACCTTGAAGTCTTTCGTTGGACTGGCATCCTCACCATTAAAATGTCACCTTCACTCATGTCTTCTTTGACGATCTGGTCTCTCACTTGCTGCAGCAGCGCATGGGCGATCATCACCTGGAAGTTCCTACAGGGCAGTCGAGTCAGGAGAACCTTGGAAGAGATCAGCACAAGTTAGGGTCAGTGGATGTCACTGCATGGCTTCCGTCGCCTGAGATCTTGGCGAAACGTTCATGTCACTTCCAGTTCCCCATCGGTCATTTTAGGTTGTCACCACTGAGTAGCCAATGTGTAAGTCAGCATGCGGAATGACTACAAAGCCATCTGAACTCTACTGTGACACCTGATTGTTCCAGAAGACATCCGTTTTGCAACACCAGAAGATCTAAGATCAGGAGGTCATGGCTCCTTGTCTCCAGGCAGTCAGGGTCTACAGAACATCTCCAGTGGAGGACAACCAGAATGTGACGGGACTGGAACCCAAGTCCTAGGAGGAACAGCTGAAAGAGCTGTGTGTCTTTAGCTGGGAGAAGAGAAGATTCAAGCAGGTACAAGAGGCCAGGGTACTGGCATGTCTGAGTTGAGCGAGGTCTCGGGAGATTCTGTTTCGAGCCCCCGCTTGGCCGTGAAGCGCAGTGGGTGACTCTTCGGCCAGCTGCATACTCTCAGCCCAACCTACCTCACAGGGCTGTTGTGAAAACAAAATAGAGAGGAGGAGGGGGTTTATGTAAACTGCCTTGGCTTCCTTGCAGGGAAAAAAGGTGGGATATAAATATAATTAAATATGTGGGTGCATAATAGCAGTCTCCAGGGATCTGGAGTGCTGCTGTCATGAACAAGACGGGACAGAGCTGTTGAGGTTGCAGAATTCAGCCCGCTGACTGGAAATGGCAGAGGAGCAGCTTGTGGTTAATCAGGAGGGGAGAACTGGGCATACATGGGCTCCGTTTCTCAGCATCCTGCGCCCCATTTTGGGCATGGAAATGGATGGGATGCCCAATTTCACCAAACTGCCCCTGGCGGAAGAGAAATTCTTGTACCACTCAGCACGTGCGAGGCATCCAGTGGGGAGCAGGGATCCAACAACGGTCCACAATTAACCCCGGGGCTACTGCCGCATCAGCTGGAGCTGACTTGCTGCGGGGCAGACGGAGCCAGCTTGCGGATTTCTGCCTCAGGGGCAGACGGCAATGAGGGCGTCGTTAAACAACACCAATGAAGTCTGTGAACTTTCTACATTTTTAGGTGCGAGTGGCAACAGCTTCAGCTGTGTCAGCCGCCTGGCGCTCAGAGCCTTTGGCTAAAATAGGCTCTGACTTCTGGCCCTGCCGCTTTGGTGTGTGCTTCCTGAGCTTTGAGGCCCATCCGCACGCCTGCTTTGCGTCTTCTGCTCGGCTCCTCGACCCCGAGACCTGGCCAGCTTTTGGATCCAGCGTGCTCATCGACCTGACTTCTAGGTTGCCTCTGGGCTCCTGGTTTGCCCCCTCCCAGACAGACAACGGTGTGGGGGGGGAAGAGGCTGGCTGTGCCCCAGAGATAAAGGTGGGGGGGTGAGCAGCAACAGCTCTTATGCCAAGAGGAAACCGCTTTGCTTCTGACATTTGGCTTCTTCTCGGGAGACGGTGAGAAAAGGACTGAGGTCAGGCCAGCCCTCCTGAGTCTCCAGGCAGGACGTGGGGCATGAGAAGGACTTCCTGAGCCTCGAGGGATGGCAAGGTGTCTGACTGATTGCATTAATGAGGCCGGGGAATCCTAGTGGCTCCGGTGAATCGGACTTCTTTGGAGCACAGTCTTCCGCCATAGCCAGAATCTTCCCCCTTCTCACCCCATGTGGGGACTTGCCCTCTCGCCTCCCTCCACCCAGTTACCCACAAGCGACCAGCGTGTGAAGCCGAGCTCGGCGGGGGAAGCAAACACAGAGATGAGCAGTCTCTGCAAATATTAATTGCCCAGAGAAAAGCAGCCAGGGCAGTGGGACAATGGCGTCGGAGCTGGCAAAATAAACGGCCGCGGTTTGGAGGGTCAGGAATCCAACTGTGCAGCAACCGTGACCTTCTGCCTGGGCTTCAGCTTCAAAAGCTGTACAGATAGTTTGCAAACGGGCTTGAGAAGAGCAGGGGAGGAACCGCGCACACGCAACAGCTGTGGAGCTGGCACGCCTCATTGGTGCCCAACTAGCACTGGCACAGAAGGAGACCGAGGCTGCCATTGCTCTGGTAAGTCTGCCAGGGCCCCTCATGTTTTGCCTGGAGAGTCAACAAAAAGGGAATGCCAGAAGCCCTGAAAGGCATTGTCGCCAGATCCACCGTGTGGACAGCTTCGAGTTGTTTTGCTCCCTGAAATCCAAGCATGGATCGCAAAGACCGCGTGAAAGAATGCCTTCTTTTTAAGGCGAGGGACTTGCTGGGCCGGGAGCTGCTTCTCAGCTTCTGTGGCTCTTAGGAGAGATCTTGGCGCACAGGGCCAAGGGCCAACCCTGTGTGGTATGGGCCTGCCCCTTCTTCCTGCTGAAGCGGTACAGTGCGGGGCCAGGATACTTGTCTTTGGGGGCCAGTTGCAGGATGCTGCTGGCAGTTTGCAGCTGTGCTTTTGCTGCCAGGTATGGGCAGGGCCCTTGTGAAATTTTCTGCCTCGAGGGCCGGCGTAACTTGGCCGGCTGGAAGCACCTCCACTGGGACGGCCCTGATTATGGGCTGAGGCCAAACCAGGCATCTACAGGGGCTCGGCTTTGAGCTAGAATGTGTCCTAACACCTGAAGGGGCACTCCCCCGATTTGAAATCATGCACACAGTACGCTCATCATCTCAGGTCCTCCTCCAGGTCCCTTTTGTGAGGGAGGTCCAAGGTATGCCAACCATGGATGGAGTCACCCACCCACCAGTGTGGATGCTTACCTCTAGTGTGGTCCACCTGGCATGAACAGAGTCATCTTTTCAACACCAGGTCAAGACGCTCCTACGCCAGGCATTAAGGGCATATGAGGAGGCTTTCAAAGAGGTCCTGGGGCTTTTATTGTGATTTAATGCCTTTGTATCTTCAGAAAGATTCATTTTCTAAGAATGGGGAAAGAGCTATGCTGGAGCAGACAGTGGTCCATCACCATGGCCAACCAGCTGCTCACAGGGAAGCCATAGGCAGGACAGGAGCGTCAGAGCACCCTTCTGCCCATGTGCCCCAGCAGCTGCTGGCAGAGGTGACCTAGAACCAACAGGAGCCATTGGTGGACCTCTCCTCCTTGAATGTCTCCAGTGCCCTTCAAAGACTTCCGGATTGGTGGCCATCACGTCATCTCTTAAAAGTGAATTCCACAGTGCTGTGGGGAGGCATCCTGATTCTTCCACCCAGCAGCGTCATGGAATGAAGCTGTTGGGTTCTAGCTTATTACATCATGACATCGTGTTCTCAAGGTTTCGTTCTTTGGCTGCGAGACAGACACATAATCAATCATGGCAAACGAAAACGAACCAGGGAGTTATAGCTACTCACTTCCCACAGTCTCCAGACATCATCAAAAGACCTGAGGACTCGCTGGAAGCAGAGGCTGAACCATGGGAACAGTGACATCACAACTCGCCCCTTCTTATCTGAAAAAGTAAGGAATCCCATAGTTTGGATTCCAAGAAGCCTCTTTTCTCACACAGTAGGACTTCGCCTGCCCCCAGAGCTGCCTTTCCACTTCACAAACCAACGATTGCAATCTCTTGGAGCAGTGGGGTGTCCTATAATTTCCGTTCCATGCAGGTAACTGAAGGTAGCACATTAAAATTTAGCCTGTCATCTACAGGAGCTGATCTTTGCTCTAACAGAATTTAATTTTGGTGATTTCCAGTACCAACCTGACCTGGTCTGTCGCTCCCAGGTGCATGTGGAAACCAGAACACAGGGTTTTCTTGGGAAGTTCTCATTTCGGGATTTTGCAATGCAGCTCTCAGTTAAATAAAATAATCATAAGGTGCATTTTGAGATCAAATAGGTTAAGGAATAGTATTGTGGGAGAAAGCACATTCAATGATATATTCGGATATTAATTAGAGGAGCATTTTCACAGAGTTTCAGCTGGCTACCTAACACAACAATGTGGGAATGGAACCGAATGAAATCAAGAATGAACATGAAGATGGTTACAAGGACCAAAAGCGGGTTCCTCCATTTCTCCCTACTCTGCATATTCTCGACTCCTGCCTGACCCAAGCCCAGGGGAAGTAGCTTCAGTGGAGTTTAATCCCACAGAACATGCTCCTTCTGCAAAACATCTGGGCAAACTTGAGGGGTCTTGTGGCACGGATGAAGTCCCTGAGAACCGCTTAGAAGCTGATCTGGGCCCAACCATCTCCCAGACTTCTATGGCTGCAGAGTCCCAGTGCTATGGATGAAACGGGATGCGCCGTCTGTGGTGAAGAAGACCTTTCCACCAAGGGTATACACACGGGGAAGGGTCTACTTAGGATCAAGGGTAAGCTCAAGAGGAGGATGACCCAGCTGTGGTTGATGACAAGGAGTTCCCGGTTGCAACTGGTGACTCAGGAGCAAGGGGCCGCTACCCCTTCAGGCTTCTGACTTAGCCCCAGCTGCAGGCGCTGGACAGCCTGTTCATCTCGGCCTGCGTATGATGTGACCCGTCCAATGAAGGAGATCCACTGAGAGCTCTAACCTAGCAGAGGCATTGGACCACCGTCCTGCATTTGCAGGCTCAGCTGGGCAGCGTGATGGGACCACCTCTCAAACAGCCGGGCGGCTTACCCAAAAGCTTGGCCAAGACTGGGTCCATCAGTGCAATCAAATATCTCAGCATGGTCAGGTTCTTCTCCACCCCGATGTTCATAATGCAGCTGTTCTCCTGGAAAACATAGTTATGGAATGTGGAACCCTTTGGAGGAACACAAAGGGCCACATGGTTCTGCTCATGCCTGGTTCAGCCCTGGAGACGGAAGTAGATCCTCCTGAAATGCCATGCGCATCAGCAGCGCAAATACGGCGCTTCTTGCGGGGACAGATTTGTACTTTGCCAAGACTGGAGTTTCTAACATGGCGATGCAGCAAAATGCAGGTGTGTTACTTTCCATTCCCCAGCAAAGGAGGCAACAAGGAACCGATCTCCTGCACCTGGTTCCTGCTCAGGGGGATTTTAATCGGGCAGTGCAACCTTCTGTCCTTGTTGCTTGCAAAATAATAATCAACATTTAACCTGAGGGAAAAAACAAATTCTGACACCCGCCATGTATTAGGCTAATTTATTCACTCAACTGAATTATCTCCGCCTCACCTTTCCATCCATCAGAACTTGACAGTCTTGGGGATCCTTTTTTAAACTTTCCCTTCTTTTATGCAAATTTAGTCACATCCAAATATGACATCTATGTATGTACAGACAACAATCAAAATACTCCCTTCTTCCATAGGCTAGTGCATGAAAATATGCATTTTTGAAAGCGTGAAGCTGCCAGAATGCACTAAAGTCTGATTCCATCAATGTGTGGAAAACAAAAGGACATCCGCAAAAATAGAGCCGGAACAGAGTTTATAAAATCTGTGCAAACCACATTCTGGAGCAGCTGGTACTCAAAAAAGTCACCTCTCACCTTGGAGGTAGCCAAGGTGCATCCCTGAGGACAGGAAGCCACCAATAGCCATCTCCTCCCTTCACGGAAGAAATTCTCCCATCCTCTTGTCAAGTCATCCTTTCAAAAAGCCGACTGCCACCACCGTGTCTTATGTCAGCAACGGCTAACTTGGAAGCGACGCCGATGAAAGAGGACTTTCCGCCATCTCTCCCAAATCTCCCGCTACTCGCTTTCGCTGGGTGGCAGCTCTGGATTTTAGCATTGGACAAGAAGAAGGAAAAGCACGGCGCACATGTGCTCTTATGCGCCTCTTCCCCATCTCCTGTCTTTTCTCCTTCTTTCGACAGCAAAAGCTCCAAACGTCGGAGCATTTTCATACTCCACCCTGGATGGTTTTCTTCTCTGTGGCTGTGGCCAGGCTGGGCCCCCCCGTCCCTTCACGCACCAGCTGTAGGAATCCTCTTCTAAGGAGAAGTCTCCTGGCTCTCCAGAGGCGGATGGCCCAAGGAGTCCTGGGGGAGCATCAGTGCTCAGGAGAGCGGGCTGTGACCAGCGCTTTGCTCCGCTGAGTTGTTTTATTAGATCCATTTTAATTGGCACATATTTCTTGCCAGAAACATGAAATGTTGCAAGCTTCCTTAACTGCCCCTTATTGGAGCAGAAAGTCCAGATAAAATGACCCCTCTGTAGCTTACGGTTTTTTGGTGAAAGAACTGGAAGAGCCAGTAGATCTCGTGATCCTTCTCCACAAGCAGCCGGAAGAGCAGGATCATCTCATGGAAGCCTTGCTGGTATTCTGCCAGGGAGACAGGATGGGGGTGGAAAGGCACAGGAATTAAACTCGTCCTTTGAAAAGCCTTCCCCGTCCTTTCCCCAGTTCCCATATCTCTCAATAGGCGATTCATTATCTCCCTTCACATCGCCAGGTCTTCTGTCCGCAGTGCAATTCTGTGCATGAGGTTGTTTCTGACTCGGTGGAAACACCTATAACTTCTTGTCGGTCACCAGCCTGCCTGATCACCGGGGTTGGCAGATGACCTCTTCCTGAGGGTTCTGCATGGATCTGCAGTTCCTCTGGAGTCCACTAGGTAACAGACTTCTGGGTAACAGCTCCCTCTTTATGGAACTCCAGGCCAGGCACTAATAGACCTTCATTTTCTGCATTAGCTGGAGACATTTTCATTCGAACAACCCTTCCCTAACTAACCAGCCTTGTTTTTATCAACCTAATCTGATTTGAAACAGGAAACTCTCAATTTTGACTATTTTCTTCCTTAAAAATTGCTACTCAGGAACTTTACTGGATATAGAGTGGCATATAAATCTTGCAGATAAATAAATAAATAACATCATCTACCAGAATGGATGAATGCATCCATGAGAACAAAGAGATCTGCCTTAAACAGAGTCCAGCAAGCTCTGTCTGGTCTGTTATTAATTCTGATAATATTTTTTTAAAATGAACTAAATGGAGTTCTCACCCATTCCTTCTTCTACATTGCACATGTAGTTTAGGAGAAGGATTTTTTCCAGCTGACGCTTATCCACGAGTGCATTGCCCTGTACATCTTTGAGGTAAAGCCTCTGAACATCAGATTCTGTGGGGAGAAAGGGGCCACATGTTCCGAGTGTCAGAAACCAAACCAGAGGACGAAGACGGAGCCTGACAAAAACCCTCTGAGCTTTCCCCAAGCAAAGGACTTGGATTCCACTCCAATCATCCCGATTCGTGCAGTCGTACCTGTTGGCAGGTCAGGAAAGATGCTCACACGCTGCCCTGGGATTGGGCCCCACGTGATCGACTTCTGAGTTGATAGCCATTGGATTGCTCTGTGTGCCTGGTCTAAGCATTGTGTTCCCTTCCACGTAGCAACCCTGACCCGGCCCTGAAGCTGCGCACGATATTTCAGGATCTATTAGAAATGTAATACACTGAACCCTCGACTGATGCAGGGAGGGGCAACCATCAAACGTGCTATTAATTTCTGTGAAATTGAAGGTGATTTCATTTTGTAACAATGCTTAGGAAAAGGAAAGGCAACGAAGGGGGAACTACTCGCTGGGTATGTGATCTGCTTAAGAAATTATCTGTTGACATGGAGTGCCTTTTATTTCTGAAGGGCCTGGCTGGATTGCACCTAAGCTGTAATTCTTTTTCTGAAGTTCACCTGGCTTGATTTATACTCATTATCTTGATTTGTAACATTAATTTAGCTGTATTATTTAATATTCCTTTTGTTAGGTAACTGAGAAAGCACGAACAGGCATCTGAGAGAAAATAGCCCCTTAGGTTGCAATCCTCAGCCTACTCACTCAAGAGTAAGCCCCATGGAATGCAGTGGGGCTTGCACCTGAGTAGACACTGTTAGGCAATTTTCGATCTGGATTTTTCCAAACTTTTCTAGCTATCTCTTGTTCTCTATGGGTTTTTTGTCACTGGGTTATCTTTCTTCCTGTAGCACTTTCTCCAGGGCAGTGGTGGCGAACCTGCGGCACATGGGCCACAGCGGGCACGCAGAGCCCTCTCTGTCGGCACACGAGCCAAGCTGCCCCAGCAGCCGAGCATCGGAGAGCAGCGCACGTAGGGGCCATGCGCATGCTCGGAAGGGAGTAGTGGTGCCAGGCGATGACATCATGAGCCGCAACTCATTAGCCGTGACTCGCCCAAGCTTTCACATGGCCGGTCAGTGTGCTGCCAAGGATATATGTATATTTCCTTGGACTGGCTGTGAGTTGCTTTTTCTGAACTAAAACCTCAGTATTCAGGTTTCATTGCAGTGTTGGCACTTTGCGATAAATAAGTGGGTTTTGGGTTGCAGTTTGGGCACTCGGTCTCTCAAAGGTTCGCCATCAGTGCTCTAGGGACTTGTGACCTTGGACTGAAAGGGTGCTTGTCTGGCGACAAGGAGGAAACCTTTGTCAGTTCTTGTCACCAACATGTCTTATGGGCTGGGTTTAAGGAATGACTCTAGAATGCCACATGTTGAAAATGAAAACTTACTCCAGTTAAGAAAAGAATACAATTGACCTACAAGTCAGTTTCTGTCAGTTTTGCATCTTTTCATTCCTATGTCTGTTCCTGTTTCCACAGTCATATGCATTTAAAAAAATCTGCTTCAAAGTCATACTTAAATCAGCGATGTTAATATGTTTTCTTACAAAATAGGCATTTCTAATCACATTTAATCCTACATTAATTCAGGATTTAATTCGTTTAAGCTATTGTAACTCATTATATGTGTTTTAAATTTGGTTTTAAATTTTTGCAGGCTAATCTTTTATGACATTTTCAATGCTGTTTTCATTTTATAGTGTAGCTTTATGTGTTGCTATAAACTGCCCAGAGAGCTTCAGCTATTGGGTTAGGGTTAATAATTTAAAACAAAAATAAAGCATGCATTTTTGTACATTTTTTATCTGTATCACAGCATTCTGAAAAATGTGACTTCTGAACATGTGGCTATGTTCAGATTCACAGATTTTTCTCAGAGACGTGGATCTGACCAGTTTGCATATCATTTCATGAAGAACAAATTCTCCCCACATCCTTCTCTGGATGCTTTAGCTTGCGCCGATAATATTAAACTTTGAACTGACAAGCCCCCCAGAAATAGCCCTTCCAATATCCAAATGACCAAGCATTCCAAACCTTAAGTATCCTTTAGGGACGGATACACCTGTCAGTGCAGGTTTCTCTCACTTTCTGAGGTTTAGTTTGAAAATGCATTAAACTAAACCATTTTTCTCTATCTTTAGAAAACATTTGCACTACATTTGGGGTGGATGAAGGTGAACCCTGCTTTTGATGCTTGGGTTGAACTTGGAGGGAGGAAAAATGGATTTTCAAGGGCCTGATATTTAAGTATCAGCTGGCTGAGGCATCCCCCTTTTCTTTTACAGGTAAAAGAAAGCAAAACACCTTTGCAGCAGACCGAGCTGACTGGCAACAGGCTGGGATTGATTCTTGATCAAGGTATGATGAATTTTAATTGCATTTCCATGTATATGTAATGCATCTCACACAGTATTTGAATGCCATTAATGTAGCATGACCGGCTGGGGAAGGTGGGGCATTTTTCTGTCGAAATAGAAATAGAATTCCACCCATATTTTTAATCCATTGTGAAACTGTTAGAGATACCTTTTAACCATGGAGGTGGCCTGCAAATCTCTTTTGCAAGTCCCTGAATCTTATTACCTGGTTTGTTGAGAATGGTACCAAAAGGAGTTGATACTCAGCTGGGCTCGGCCCAGTCCAGCTGAATGTCCGGTTATGGAGCAAGGGTGGAGAACTGGTGGTCTTTGGGCCAAACCTGGCTGACCAAGGCGGCCCGCCTGGCTCAATGAGGCCTCTCCCCGCCCTGCAGCCACGCACCCTCAGAAGGGCGAGGGGCTGCGAGAATGGCTGTGCTGTGGGTCAGCAACTTCTTCCTTCCCAAACAGAGAAGGTGACAGAGAAGCAGCGAGCAGCCCCTCAGTCTGGGATCTGGCTTTGCACAGGTTGGACTTTCTGTAGCTGTGAAAAGCCCACATGGAGCAGAAAGGCGAGGGAAGAGCTGGAACGACTCTTGACAATATCAGGGGATGGGACCATGTCCCCGAGGTCACAGGTGGACTCCCTGGGCTGATGTTATCTGGCTCACAATGAGTCAAGGGGAGGCAATCTGACCTCTGAACCCAAAAACTTTTCCTGCCCTTCATATACAGATCCCCAGTTTAGCCTCCAGTTGGAAGAGGTTCAGGTTGCAGGTCAAGCTGAAACACCTCACATGGTTCCTGGGGACTTACTGATGGAGTTTCGGACCTCCAGGAACTCCTGAAGCTCACTTTCCAGCAGAGGTTGGATCTTTTCACACATGTTGCACAAAGACTCGTAACTTTTCCTGCGGAGACGGGGGAGAAGGGGCTCAGTCATGCATGGATGATGCAGAGCAGAATGCAAGCAGAAGGCACAAAAAGGAAGACCGTAGTGTCCCCCACGCTGGCAACTTCCAGCCGTGTTGCACGACAACTCCCATCATATGCCACCTTGGGGGGAAGGACAAATCAGATTCAAGACTCTTCTTTTGCTCCCTTTTCCTGGTCTACCTCAGGCTAGAAATACTGCCAGGCTAGAAGAATCCACAGACAGAAAGCCAGACAATAGCTTTATTGTCTATCTCTGGCAAGAACAGGCTGGTAAGAAGAAATGCCTGATTCCCACACCCAGGCAGAAGAAAGGCCCTGGCCAGCTAGTTACTTGAGCTGTGGAGGTTCGGATGTTGGTCAGCAGTTTGGGACTTCAGGTCGCCAAAGCCTGCCTGGTCAGTAGTTAAGGACCATGGGACTTTTGGTCCAGAACAGCTGCCTGCCCCTGGACTAAACCAAAATGAGATGCCAGGCACACACCTTCTCCTGCTGTTGGCCACCAGCCTCTCATCATAGGTGCTCCGCCAGGAGTAAAAGCCTGTGAGAAACTTCCATACTTCCAATCTTACAGAAGGATCCAAACCCTGAAATGAATGGATGAGTGAATGGAGAATGAGGACCGAAGAGGGTTGAGGCAATTGAAGCGATCTGTTACTCCAAGTTGTTATAAAGTTTGTAAAAAATGGTGAAGCTAGACCGAGTTCATTCAAGACTAAATTGCTTTATTGAAATCTCTCCTGTGATCCTCTCTCCAGTTGACGTGGCTCCTTCTGTTCTACACCTTTGTGGGTGTTTTTGCTTGCCTTGCTCTGGGATCCTGCTGAGTGGATCCTTGCACCCTGAGGAGCAAACTCCCACAGGGCTGTGGGAACGTGTGAGGGAGGCTACAGCGAACAAACCGGTGGCTTGACCTTGGAACGTACAGAATTTTGCTCCTACAGATCATCAGCTGCCTTTCATTCTGTTGTCTGCATGTTCATGGAACTGAACCTTTTCTGTACTAGAAACTCATTTGAGAAACCCCTTTCCCATCCACATTAATGCACCATTGGGCAAATGTGCTTGAGGTAATGCCAGAGTCTCCCCCTGCCAAAAGAGTGGAGAAAAAGTCTAGAGGTCTGCAGAATGCACCTGATTCTGAAAAAGCCAATCTTGCAGAATCCATAGGCCAGACCTGAATCCCTTGGGGGTTTCTTGGACATGCCCTCAGGCCCGATTCACGGGCTGCATGTGAGGAAGGAGCTGGTGGCTACGATGGAAGTGGGTTGGAGCATATACACTGGTCTTCCACTCAGAACTTTAAGGCGCTATCCATGGTGCTGAAGGGGAGAGCTCAGCACCACAGGCTGAAAACCCAGAGAAAATACACCAGCCCACCTACCATGTGGGAGCTCCCAACCTCAACTGGACATCTCTCTATGTGTAGGATTGCGCTGGGCTGAGGGTCTAAACTTGTCCAGCAGCTCCACCGGTCCAAGGAAGTAGGAAAGCAGTGTGGACATGTCCCTTGGTCTCTTCCTATTTGGAAGGGTTTTTATAGACCATCACAAAAGCCACATGGCTCTCTGGGCACTCCACGACAATTAAAAACCAACAACAAAACAAAAAACCAACATATCAACACATCCGATAATAAAACATCAGTTCCAATAAAAACATCCATTCCAACAGCAGGAGCACCGACCAACAATGTACACTAGCAGATTGGACAGCATCTTATACATGATTATTAACATTCATCAAGATATCAACCTGAAATTAGAATTATATTAGAACTAAAACTGTCAGCAATTAAAATACTCTGAGGGTTAGGGGTGGGGTGATATATGGGCCATTTTAGCTTTTTAATACTGTTTCTGTGCTAGGGTGGGTGAGCCGTGCTAAGAACGGGAATCCTCTCCCTCACTGCCCTTACTCGCTTCCTCTTTTAGCGTGGGCAGCAAGAGCCCTCACCTAAGTACCTGCACCTGGAGGCAGACGGTGTATAAGCTCGTGCATACACTTATACCCCTTACAGAATTTTTTAAGCACTAGAGAATAATTAAACTTGAGTAAGCAATCACAGGCAATCCAACTTGTTTTTCCAGGAAGAACAGCAACAAGTTCAGAGGCTGGGAAACGGGCTCTCCGAGTCCCCAGAACAGATGCTTTTCAGCGTAGGTAATAAAGGCGGTGGATACAGATGGGGAAGAACTTGACAATTTCCCCCCAAAATATAAAGTAAAAATTACACTGGGGATAAATGAGTTCTGTTGAAGTCATGCTACCAGCTAAATTTATCAAGGCAGGAACTAACATTTATCTGTGGAGTGGCTGAAGGGGGTGGGGGGTTGGGAAGAGAGCATTTTCACAGCTTTCGCTAAAAGTGCCAGGTTTCCATGGGTTCATCAGGGCCTTTGTGGCTGCTTGCTCTCTCTCTCTCTCTCTCTCCTTCAAATGAAAGGGGAAAAAGAGTCTCACTGATGGAGCAAAGTAATTTGGGAACTTGCTAGTTGCTGACAAAACCACTTTCCTGATGAGCAAAGGAAATTTGTGGAAGGACCGCGTGACAACAGAGGAATAGGAGGAGTGAGGACTTGCACTGGAGCATCTGGCAGATGGATTGGTCATGTCAGCTCTTCCCACCAGAGGTTGTGGAGTGGGATGCCCAGCATCCCTGGCCATTGGCTGCGGGGGCTGATAGGACTTGTACAACTGAACATTTAGGACTTGCCAAAAATATGTGCACTATTTATGTGCACTATTTGTATTGTGTTTATTTATTGTATGTAAGCCATTCCGAGGCTCTTGCAAATGAGATGGCATACAGAAATTCCAAATGAATGAATGAATGAATGAATGAATGAATGAATGAATGATAAAAATATACCAGGTGAAGCTTATTGACACGGAAGTCAGTGGGTGTTGCTCTAGGCAGGAAATTTGGATTCCATGCTTTTAGACCAGAGATGAAGAAGCTCTTTTCCACCATGGGGTCTGAGCACAACTGGAAGAGCCCCGGGGACAAATTCCAGTGGTGAGCAAGGAAGAAGGCCAAGTGGCTGAAGCCAGCCGCTCAGTGCCCCCTCCCCAGACCCAGCCTATCGTAGCAGCTCTTATTGGCAGCCATTCAGCTTTCAGAGAGGGAACACAGATGTTGTAATAGGGGAAAACTGACAGGGGAAAGGGTGAGCCCCCAAAGTCCCGACTGGGGTCCATGAGAGCAGGGCTGAAACCCGTGGCTTGAGGTTTCCCAATCCTGGTGCAGTTTAGGGCAGCGGGACTTACGCTGTTTTATATTTTGTGCAGAAACTAGCCATTGGAGAAGGAGCCAGGGTGAGTGATGATGATGATGAGGAGGAGGAGGAGGAGAGCTCTCGGTGAGGTCACACATTCAGAGCCAGCCCAAGACAGTTTGCTCCTTGAAACAAAGGGCAATCAGGCAAAGAGCCCCAAGCTCATCCCTCACCAAAAGGCTGGTCCTACCTTCACTTCAGTCAAGCTCCAGGGACAACTCCTCACTTGCCTCATAGCAGGGCTGGCCTCATTCCCATGAATCAAGGGCAAACCGCTTCCATTCCTGTTCCCACAGGCTGGAGAACGGCAAGGTCATTTCCAAATGGTGGGCACACCCATTGCTTGGCTCACCTTGGGTTTTCTGAATCCTGCCTTTTAGTGTGAATGCTATCACAACTGTGTAGCCCCCCTGTTTTGGCCTGTGGATTTTTGGGGGTGGATATGACGTAGACCCTCCTCTTAGCTTCTCAGAAGGGCCACCATTCCTTGATAACTCGCACCCCTTCCAGCATCCTGAAGAGGACCCCTCCGCTGAGAAGTTGGTAGCATCGCACAGTGTTTTTCGCTCCCCCCTTTTGGTGTGTGACCCTTTTACAGTGCAAATCCATCTATGACTGCTGCGGAGGGAACTCCGTTGGGGTCAGTGCGACTCCCAGACTTCCGTGCGGCTGGCGGGAGAGAGGAGAGCGAGCAAGAGAGCGAGCGAGCGAGCATTGGCTTTAAGTAATTTGATTATGAATTGCATAATGCAAGTATTTTTGTTCAGCCATTCAGTTGTGCTCCCCCAGCTGTTATATTGTTCTGTGTCTGAGTGGTGTGCTGTCCCCCTCGATGCAGCAGAAGCGGAGGGTATAAATAAATTTTGGCATTTCTGTTGTTATTGTTAACTTTACATTACTATTATTACTACGCAGCTGTTTTAATTAAGATGCTGATGATAAAGTAACTGAAAAAAATAATTAATTGGTTGGCAGGTCTTCTACATTTATGATTATCTCCCTCCAAAGTCCTGCTTTAATAATAGACACAATTTCTCTGGAGGTTTCTTTGTCATCTTGGAATGCCAGTCAAAGAAAATCCTCCTGACCCCAAATCTACTTTGCTGGGCAACACCACTTTCACACCCACAAAAAGAACACCCCCGGGGAGAGCTGCTCTTCCTGAAGTTGCCCAGGCTTCAGATCACCATGGCAACCTCACCTTGCACAGAAGATGTGCTAAATGAGCTTGGGGAAGGGAAGCCACAAATCCTTCACATGGTTGAGATGCCCATTTAAGCTGTTCGGTTCCCACGCAGCTGTTTTGGGGTCCCCAGATGAGGCCAGGCTGCTTTTGACCTGGTGGCATCCATACAGGACTCGTTCTCCTTCATCTGGCAGAATCCCACAATGACACTGATGGCGGGGCTGGGTAATCGCCCTCCTTGAGCATGCCTTTGTTTTCTTCACCTTCTTTCCGTGTTTAATTCTGCATCCTTTGCATATAAATAACACGGCTGCATCACTGGGGGGGGGGGGGGGGAGAGAGAGAGAGAGAGAGAGAGCGCGAGAGCGCATAGGACTGGCCCTGTCAGGTATCTCTCAGAGTTTTCCCCTGATTGTATAGCTCTCAGCAAAGCAAAGCAAAGCAAAGCTCTCTAGCATATTTACTGGTGTGGATATCGTTCTTCTTGAGCTCTCTGTGCTATATCTCTTCAGACTACAAGAGGAAGGCGTCCTATGATTATCTGCCATGGTGTAGTGGTGCCAGGGCTCGCTGGGAGAAAGCACTAACACCTTTTGATGAGCAGGGTCCATCTTTGCCATCCCCACCTCAGTTCTATGCTCCCTGATGTTTCACAGCAGCAGCGAAACATGGACTTTCCCAGCAACTAAGTATTGCTGTGATCTGTCCCTGATGAATGCAAAATGTCAGGGGTAGCAGTGAAGGCCTATTAGCCTTACAAAAGACCTGCTCCTGGTAAAGGTGCCAATTGATCCAACTTGGCATCCCAACTTGGAAAAACCCTGTGGGACAAACTACTCCTGGGCTTTCATTGAAGTCTGAGCATCCAAGCTGGGTGGATGAACATACAAAGAAGCATGGGAAACTGAGATACGGTTCTCCACCAACTCCTAAGAAAGAGAAGCACAGGAAACTGGAATTCCTTTGCATGTTCTTCTTTGAATTCCATTACAATAGCAATTTCTTTTGTATTGAATTGACTAAGAACACTGGGAAAATGTGAGACAAATTTCTGGCACAGCATCTAGCCAAACTATTCCAGTTCTTCTGGTGGATCCATGAATGAAGAGAATGTTTGCGAGCAGCAGCGGTTGACATGGGAGGCTGTGGCTGTAGATGATCTTAAAAATGGAGGGAGCCTGGTTCCTAGAGGTGTGATGAAAATGAAAGAATACTGCCTCCTCATTCCCTCGTGGCATCACCACATTGACACCCACGCTGTGCATTGGTTACGAACTCTGCTCTGGGTCCCGAGCGTTCACTCACCCGTTCCATGATTTGGACTAATATGTAGTCCCGCGATTTGAGCAACTGGCCACTCTCGTCAAAGTAACTTTCCCATTCATGGCTGTCGATGGGCCACTTCTTGACGCTCTGGAAAACAAATCGAAGCTCTTGCAGTTAACCACGGCACACCGTGTTGGCAGCAGCTGGAGGCCCGGTTTATCTCGCTCAGGAGGTCGGTCAATAGCGTTACACCGATGGGAAATTAGCCAGTGCCTAAAGATCTAATCGGAATTAAAACTGAGGTGTGCTGGATATTTTAAGCATGGGGCACTTCAGGTCCAGGGCCCAGTCCAGCTCTCCTGGTGTCCGGATCCAACCTTGTGTGGGCCTGGGATAGGATAGTCCCTCCACCTCTGGCCTCGTTTGTGCAATGTTTGGCCATTCTATAAGGCCGAATGCCTCTCTGAAGGCTTTGTTATTGCCTTTCAGAAATGCAACCTAAAATAGCCCATTTTGGTATCCCTTTCTCCTCCTGCTTCATGGTAGTTCACCTGCATTATATGAAAAAGGTTTAAACCTGGACGTCTCCAGGCAGGGACAGGGAAATGCCTGCTCTGAAACTCTGGACAGCTATGGTCAGTCAGTGCAAACAAGGGCTTGAGAAGCCTTTGACTCTGTGGGGGTTGCGAGCTGGGCCTGCAATCTTCCCCAGATAGCCACACCCCTTCCCCTGGCCACACCCCTTGCCCCCAAACTGCCTATCAATGCGTCGTTTCCCAGCATTTGTGCATATTTTTGCCCTTCCAAAAGGACGATGTTTCTCCTCTGCTTTTCTTACTGACCGGAAGAGCACCAAGCTACAACATGGTTAGCTTTAAAAAGAGATCCCGCCCCTTTTGCCTTTGGTCCCCCGTCCCACTGGAACGGGGGTCCCAAGAGCTAAATGAAGGCAGCCCTGCAGGGGCTCGCGTAGCTCAATGAAGCGATGAGCTCTGCCGGGCAGGGCCACCCAAGGCGGACAGGTCATAGCAGAGAGCTCTGACAAAACGTGATCCCCTGGAGAAGGAAATGGCAACCCACTCCAGTACCCTTGCCATGAAAATCCCATGGCCGGTACCAAGAGGCCGAGATATGAGGTGGATGGATGGGGCCACTGGGGCAGTGAGCGTGAGCTTGCGTGGACTCCAGGGATGGTGGAGGACAGGACAGCCTGGAGGAAGGTCGTCCATGGGGTCGTGGAGTCGGGCATGACTTTGCGGCTAAACAGCAACAACGCCTCATGGTGACTTTTGCCCTGCAGTGAGTCAACCATGCGCAGCAGCCTCTCAAAAAGCGCCAAGCTGTGTTCTGCACAAACAGCCCTAAAGAGTCTGCTGTGGCGTCACTCCGTCTCATCTCCCTTGCTTCTCATTTCCCTCCTTTCTGAAAAGCGGCAAGTTTTCCAATTGGGAAACTTGAGCTGTGAGATCTTTGTGCTTAGATTTAGTTACAACGGCCTTTGCAAGATGGAATGCATAATTAGTTACAAACAACCTGATGAGAGGAACTTGGGGAAATAAAATCAATGGGATCAGGTAGAGGGGCCATTTAAGCAAATCTCATTAGAATCACAGAAGGTCTGCAGCCCATGGAATCGAGGAAGAAATAATGGGATTCAATTTCAAGGCACAAGAGTTCCTTGGGTCGAAAAAAAGAACCATCGATGTGCGAATGGAGAGCTGGCCCATGCCTGCTGAGAGCGGTGCATTAATTGCTGGCAATGACCTGCTGTTATAACCGTCTATCCTCTTCAGAGAACTGCGTCCGGAAAATGGCACCAGGCAGACACAACAGAAAAGGGACGCAAGTTTCCCTCACTCTGTTGAGGCTGACCTCTTTTCCACACTGCTGCGGAGGTTCCCAGCATCGGCGCGATCAACTTGGGGTGGGGAGAGGGGCAGGAGTCAGAATCCACTTCGTCTTTTCCTAGATCTGCCAACTGGCGCTAGATCCTCAGCAGAGACTCAGGCTTGAAGATTGCGGGGTCCTGGAGAACATGCTCGGCTAGAAATCAGAGGCTGGTGTCAGGAGCCAGCGTGTTGTAGGAGCTAGCAAGCAGGACTGGGACTCTGGAGATCGAGGTTCTAGCCCCACTTGGCCTCCAAGTTCCCTGGGTGACCAGACACTGAGTCTCAACCGAAGCTGCCTCCCAGAGCTGTTGTGAGGATAAAACAGAGAGGAGCGGGACCACATGAGCCTTGCCAGAAGGAAACACTGAGGCAGAGAGGCGGTGCAAAGAGGGTGAGAACAGGACTGAGGCTGTGTGAATCTGACATTCAGGTGGGTCACAGGTCAACCTACGTCAAAAGAGGAACCCCCTTCTGGGCGTCCTGCGTCTTCAGCTGCTGCTCACTCTGGCACAGAGACAGTGATGGCGAGAGGAAGAGCGGGAGAGGCCATGGCGTCCTTGCTCCCTGGGTTACGGTCATGAGGAGGAGGAGGAGGAGCAAGAGCAGCTGGTACCAAAGTGGTGAGAAGGAAGCCTCTCTGGGGGAAGGCGCCCACTGGAGGTGTCCTTCACAAGTGCCCTCAGAAACCTGGTGCTGACTCTGATTGACGGGGGGCCCTCTCTAGGCGAAACAGCCATTTCTTCCCATGGTCCTTCCCAGCACTAACAGAGCGTAACTTACCAGTACGGATGGGACCGAAGCACTGAGTCCTGTGGGCTTTGTAACATCTTCTTCAGACGAAACGGGACTTTCCAATCTTTCTCTGATCATGCCTTTCCTCATTGTTCAACAATTATTTTATTTTATTTTTCAATGGTGATCCAGATAAATTCAAGCTGGACTCCCCTTATGCTCTTTGGGAAGCCAAACTAGTCTTCCCTGCTTCCCCCTTCCTTTCCATCCAAGGAATGAGTTCCACCGAGATGAGGCTGCTTTGTGAGTTGGTTGCCATAGCAGCACCTCTATGAGGTCACAGAGGCATGAGGTCACTGGAAGAAGAAAGGATCTGAAGGAGAAAGACCGTGCCCTCAAGGAGCAAGGACGTTTGGGGGAAGTGAGAGCGCGTGTCTCTGGAGAAGGACGCAGCCCAGATGGTCAAGGTTGCTATTTCAAGGCTGACTTCTGATGAACCGCACAAGCAAAGTCCCACCTCGTCTGCAGAGCAGGCTATGTGACCAGCTGGCCTGCTTTTGCAGAAGGATACCTATAGTTTATCTATATTCAATTGCAGGAAGTTGATCCCAATGTTCTTCTGAAGGCTTAAATGTATTCCTGGTCTATCCACAGCCTTCAGAGTAGCTAAGAATCAAGACTTCCTGTGTCAGTGCCCTCTACCTCTATCTGCCAGAGACTGAGAACCATGATCCCCAAAGCCCCATTTGCAACCGTTGGGTGTCTGACTGACTCACGGCGGAAGGAAGCAGATGGCTGCCTGGACTAAATGGATCTTCTGATCTCTTCGTTCTTAATCCTTGCTCCTTAAAAAGAAACAACCACTCAGTCTTCTTGCCAGGCAAATATCTGTCTGCCCAGATGCCATATAAGCAATACAGTCACGGACCAGATAAAATTTGACTGGTGTCATATGAAAAAGTGGGCTCTTATTGTAGGCAAACTGTTCTCAGTCTCAGCATCTGCATAATAACTCTTTTAGCTTCCGTGACAAGCTCGTCCATCTTTTATGGATGGAGGGATGTGAGTATTCCTTGCTCCCCCTATTTTTTTCCACTTAAAAAAAAGAACGGCTCCATCAAAGAGATCTATGAAATACTCACTTCTCAGCCACTGAGCCATCTATTCAAGGTTTACATACCCAGCGACGGTCGGGAAGATGCATTAATGGGAAATTGTTGCTGAAGCTTCTTCCCACAGCTTTTCCCAGGAAGAGCTCAGTACAAACACTGAACCATCAAAATTTAATGTTCCCCAGTTAACAAAATCTAATGTTCTCTCGTCATTCTCCTCCTTTTGCCTTAAATGCTTGGGAGACTCAGTGTGCTATTTAGCGGCTGCGTGGCGCTGGTGCAGTGGGGCGGGGAGTGGCGCCAGGCGTCGGGGTCCAAGCTCTGCCATCGCGGCACCGTGTGGCTGCCACACAGGCGGGCAAGCCGCTTCATGCAGAGTGCCCAGAAAAAGCTCTGCCGGGGGGAGCACCATCCTGCGCTTTGCTTCAGGCAGCAAGATAGGCTGGACTATCCTTCTATTAAGGACAGGCTGGACATGCACATGGTAGGCCTGTCATGAGTGGAGCTGGCTGGAGCCGGGGGTCAGACTAGATGGCCTGGGAGGCCCCTTCTGACTCTCTCTGTTTCTGTATTCTAGGCCATCCTTGCAGAGACGGCAGTCCCCCGCAGGCACAGTGCCTGCCGTACTTTGCACTACAGACCTCCTGGATTATGTTTTCAGCTGGTGGGATTCAGTTGCTGAGATGCAAACAGCAGCCGTTAGCAAATGAGTAAATTTCCTAGAGTTAGATGAGGTCCCAGGGGCACATGAAAGACGAAAGGCTTCTGAATTTTATTTTGTCGTTATCTCTGTAATAAAGCTGTCACTGTTAGGAAGGGCTGGCACATGGCACATGGCAGTCCCTGGATGCTCCCCGTGGGGGCATGCCTGCTTCTTGCAAAACCCGCTCTTCCATTTGCCATCCCGGGAACAGGGGCCCAAGGAAGCCCCTTCAACGGCCATCCCAGTGCTGGGCATGAGGCGGTGACAGCCGACAAGGGGTGGCCATGCTCTGCGGAAGGAAAGCGCGCGTGTCTTGCATCTCATTTATGATTTAAGTTCCTAAACCCCACAAAAGTGAAAGAGGGAAGTTCCTTCAGAAGCACATGCGAATGCAGCTGCAGCCGTGGCATCAACCACCGTAGTCAAGGCCGATGGATGGGAATCGGAGGGGTCCGCTCGGGCCGGACAGGAGGACGCAGTGAGGGTCTGTGACGACGTGTGCGAAGGACAGAGCGCGCTCTCATCTCCGGAGAGCTGGATTTCTTATCACCCCACTTTGCCTGTGGCGTCGAGCCGCTGCGATCGTGTGGCCGGACTAGGAGGCGGTTGGTGCGTCTTCCCTGCGGAGGGCAGGCACCCACACGCGGCACGTCTGGCAAGGGCTCCTTAATTTGTCACAGCCGGAACGTGCGCTGCACACCCGCTGCCCGC